TATATATATATATATATATATACGGCCGATATTTTACGAATCTTCCACGTGTTATTCTCTAATCGGCATTCATAGGAGCAGGTAGCAGTGCGCGTTGCGCCTCGTTCCTTCGTATTTTTTTTTATTAAACAATACCGTATAATAAACGTTGTAGCATCATATGAATAATAGTAAATATTTATTAATTATGATTGATTAATGACTCATAAATGTATCGAAAAAACGACTTCTTAACAAAATATATATACATTTCGCGCGTCTTATTCCTTTTGAAATTTATGACTTTTTGTAAATGATAACTCCTCTAAAGGGTATGGCCTTGTCGTGGCAGAGGGGCTCAGTATTCTGAGGGGTTACCCAAGCAGCATTATTAGTCAGCAGAATATTGGCCAGATATTATGCCAACACTATTGGTTGGTCCGATGTTGGCTGATAATTTGCCGATTAATTTGTGCTATTCGGGTACGTACCTCAAAGACGAAGAAGCTAACTAGTACCCGTTGCACAGTTATTAGTAACATTAATATTAACATTGAATAATATTATTGTTATTAATAACTTCTCTACCGCCGATTTAATTGAATAAACGAACTGTAGCCAGTTCGTCGCGTCGCGCGTTTTCTTCGGGAGTGCCGTACTAGTAGATTAAATCAGACTAAAAAGCTTTTCCTCGTCCTGCGAGGGCTCGTTTGAGAAATATTACAGTTCGTGCCGGGAGTCGTACTGCCAAGGGGTACAGGGAGCATGGGGTGTCTCATTGAGGCGTAGTCGGCTACGTCTTCACGCCACGTGCGTCGCGGCACTGGTGATGCCGGCTGTGAATGTTACACGCACTCGCTACCGCTTGATGTGTTGTGTTTCGCACAGTTGCAAAATGCATTAAACGGCTAATTGAGAACACGCTCTGTCTTCGACAAGTGGTTCGGTCCCAATCGACAAGAATTCAATCGAGTGACTTGCTTTCGTCGCTTTTCTTGTTTTCTCTCCCTAATAAATCGCGTTTAATCTGACTTGACCAGAACTTAGTCGGACAGTTTTTGCGTGTGCCGAGAGGCTGGATCCCGGTTGCTCGATTGTCTAGATTGTTAGACATCGGCGATGGGTACCTTCTCTCTCGTCACATCTACCAGCCTTCTCGATAGTCCGGGTGTCGGGTAGCACCGTATGATATCACGTGTATGGTATCCGCCTTGGTGATTCGACCTGAGCCGTTGGCTATGTAATGGTCAAATCAATTTTAGACGTGATTTTCGAGAAATAAGAGACGTTGAAATCAACTTAGTCGATTCGTCTTCTTTCGCTTCGATCTTAGCCCTTGCTTGGAATTAACGTGTGTCCCGATAAGCTCACCGACCCGGGTACTGACTGGACCGACGGAACTTGAAATTTTCACGGGCAGCTAAACGTGGAGTGTCGCAATTATCGCGCGAAAGACATTTAAGATTAGTTCGCGCGCAATTATAATTATTCGCGAGTGTTTTTCGCGAGTGTTTTATACTACAAGGAGATCTGACGACCTAACATCCTGAGAGGAGGAGGAGACCTTAGGAGAGGCATCGGGCATCAGCGGAGCAACCTTGCGGTAAATATACATTTTGTCATTTTTTTGTAAATTTAATCGTTTTTTCATTTATTTGTATCAATAAATTTTGGTAATTTATAATTCATAGTTCGGAAAAGAGACAATTTAAAATTTAACCCAAATTTATTTCTATAAAGATCACTTTGAAAATTATATAATTATTTTAATAAGTATCTAATTGAAAGATAAAAAATAGATTTGATACGCGTAAATTATTTTTAAAAATATCTATCATTTAGTGCGCTGCTATAATTTAAATATTCTATTTGTGTGTTACAGAATCATCATAGCTACATGGCAGATTTACTCCGCTGTTGCGCATCACATCGGTGAGTAACACATTTTTTATATTGGGGTAACAAATCTGTGAAACTTATGTTAGGTTACTTTTATGTATTTACTACAAAAATATTGCAGTTAGATATTTTCACAGATTCGTTGCCCTAAAATGGATAGATTTAAACAATTTAGGATATATATTTAATCCTGGAATGAGACTATTTATTTAGAGACTATGTATTGTACAATGATGCAGTTGTTTAAAATTTGGAAATGAAACAATTTCGCACTTATGATACAAAATTATATTTTCAAGAAATTATATGTATATATATATTTATATACGTTTATAATACAAAAAGTTAAAAATATTTAAAAAATATTAGGATTCGGTTTATTAAGTTTTTTAGGATTTATTAAATGTTTTTTGAGCAAAATATATTATTATATGAAACAAATTATATTATTTAAATAAGTAAAAAGTTTAAATAAATAAGTTTTTAAATTTTTTGAATAAATATTTTGAATAATAAATGAAATGATATAAGAAAATTAAAGAAATTTATAATAAATTAATATATTTTTAAATATACAGCTAATATAAAATTTTCATTGAATTTTTATGTTATATCTCTCAAGAAAAGAAAGAAGGATTATTAAAAAATATTTATATTTAATAAGAATATATGTATATATTCTTATATATAAGAATATATCATTATATGTATGTTTTTTTATCTTTTTACCCTTCCCTTTCCCATATTTTACCAGGATTAAATATTTAAGTCGGCGCATAAAAATATATTACGTATATATATGAAATTCTTATTAACGTATATCACAAATATAAATAAAAGAATAATTGAATAAACGTAAGAGAATTACACATAAACGCATCGATTTGATCCTAATAATGTATAATCTATCCATGTATATTAATCAAGAACTTGGCTACAAGTTAAAGCAAAATAATATGACGTGAGATCCAGTAAACGTTTCATTACTGAACACAAATTAATAATTATAAATTATCAATTTATTTTAGTTTAAAAAAATATATATTTATTAAAATCTTAAGAAGTTAATTTTAAATTTAGAATCTAACTTATATATACAACAATATAGAGATATTGTTAATATATTATATTTTTTTTTTAATTTACTGTTTATTAAGTTTAATAGGTTATTATGTTTGAAAATTTAAATTTTTTAATTTAATGCGTGTATAATATTTAATATTCAGCATTTATATTTTGATATAATTTGTAAAGTTGTATATCATGCAATACTGACATACTGATTATGCGGAAGATTCATTATCCCGCTTGGATCTCATGTCAGTTATCTGAATATTTCACATCGGTCTCATCTCAATTCATGATGAGAGTCATAATTTCGGGAATAATACGGACGTAATAATGGGCCTTAGATTTTTTCGGTTTATTCATTAAGTAGTTCACAATTGTTTTCATTTTAATTTTTCTATTTTTATGCAATATCATTCAATTTATCATTTAATTCTCTTGAATCTTATTCTGATACACTGATGAATTGTATATATTAAATTAAATAAAAAATTAATCATTGAGATCAAGGTATAAAACGGTAAATTTTTAAATCGAAATAATGATTAATCACTATTTGTTATGTTTCGAAAAATTTCGAAAAAGCATGATGTTATTAAATAAACATTATAACAAACATTATAACAAACGTTGTTGCAAATTTCGTATTTTATTAATGTTTGAATGGCCCTCGCGATATGATTTCACAATCAACGTGCACGATTGATCTAAAATTGAGCGTATGATCTATCGACATTGATAATTGGCCAATAATAAAAGGAATACATCTTGTTATCATTTCTGGCTGTATGTGACCAAAATTTCTGGCTGTTTAGTCAGAATTGACATGGAGCAACGTGGCCAGCAAAGGTAAGACCAATCTGGCCTGAAGAACAACAGCTAGTAATAATATTGATTAAAAGGTGTAAGTAATAATGTAAAGATATATAGTAAGTAATCATTATCAAAAATTGTATTGCATACATATGATCGTTCATACATTATTATGGATGAAAATATTAGGATAGCCTTGATATTCTTTCCTTGCTTATTTTAATCATCTTAAATTCACATTTAAATTCACACCTCTCATAGGATGATTATAGGCTAGGTATTTTGTTGGAAAAACCAGCATAAAACCCGGGTAGATATATTCGTACATGCTTTAGTATTATCTGAGTTTGCGGATGAATAGGAACATACTAACAGAATTTGAACGGGTAGGTAAGAACACTATGAAAATTTGTGATTAAGAGATAAGAGATTATGAGGATTCGAAAGGATAAAATATAAAAATCTGCAGTAGAAATATTATAAAAATTCGTAAATAAGGATACTATGAGAATCGTTTAGGATGAGAAAGTTTAGGATGGATAGAAATTCGGGTGGGCAAAAAAATTATTATCACCATCTAACACTTAAAAAGTTATATATAAAATGCTAATTAGAAAATTTTAATTTAGAAAGTATTTATTATTTAAAAATTGAATTAAAATATTACTTATTATTATATTAAAATTACTTTTATAAAAATTTGAATAGGTAGGGAAAGACATAATTTAACGTTTAAAAATTATTAAATTATATAATATTTAAGACAATATATGTTGTTATAATTTTTCAAGTGCTATATGATTATGGAATTAATTTGAAACTAATGGCGACTTTCGACTGATGTCATAATATTATTTCATAATTAATTCAATTGAAATTGCGCAAAATTTCGTTTTCCTTGGTGTTATTTTCATACGTTAAATGATAAAAAATTAACTGCTCTATTCCATGTTAACAAAATAATACGTTACTTGATTAATTTGCATTTAGAGGAAGTTACTTCATTTTTACCAATTTAAATTAATTTTATCTCGATTTAACTTTCATCTTTTTTTAATTCCATAAGAATTAGAAAAAAATAGAATTAATAATTAAACCGAAATTAAAGAAAGAAAAAGATAATCTCTTTTTTGATAGAAATGGATATAAATACGATAAATATGATTCGTATATTTGAGATAATGAATTATATCAACGAACTTGACAATTGAAAAAACTAATCACTCAATTTAATACATAAAAAGTTCTCAATACATTTATTTTACGCTTTTTATATTTATTTACGCTTTTATGCAAATTCATCTAAATTGATTTTTAAGTTTTATTATTATTATTAATTTCATTTAAAATGCATATAGAAGAAATTATGTATAAAACAAATTTATCTTTTCAATATAAATATAATAGTTTAACAAACTTTTCTTCTCCATTCATTTAGTAATTTTTTAGACTGATATAAAATCAGTGAAATATAAAATCAGTGACATATATAAGATATATTATCATTTCGATACGTTTATATACAATATTATATCTCATAATTTTCTATGTGCACGCGTCATGGAATGTATGTATCATTAGGATTGACAAAGTAGTATTTAAAAAAGTTATATTATGTAACTTGCATATCTTCGAGTATTACAGTTAAAAAATTAAAATGTACATATTTGTTTAAAATGAAACACTATAATTTATTTAAATATATATAATATGTAAATATGTTCCTATTTTATGTTCGTATTTTTTATTTAACTGATTGACTATCAACAGTTGTATTATTACAAAATAAAGGAGCTATTCTTCGTCCACTATGTTCTAATGTATAAGATTCGAATGGGAAATAATTAGGAACCAAAACGGGCATATGAGTTTTCATTCCGAAAACAGGTAGTTCATTACGCTCATTGTTCTCGATTACAGTATAGCAATAGGCTAACTGATACGTGCTCGTGATATCAGCAAAATCGCGAATAATCTTGGCATCGCACATTTTCAAAGGATTTAATTTACACGTAATGATCGTCGATATATTAAGATTCTGAAGAAATAATATTCCTGAAAAGAAAAATACGCGCGACATTTTTACAACTGTCACTATTAACTCTATATTATGTATATATAATCAATGTAATTATGTATTTACACTTACCACTCTTTGAATCGACAAAATGCTTAAATCTCGCAACAAATAAGCGGAAAAACGCTTGACAAACAGAATAAAACAAAACGTGTGGTTCTGGATCATCATCAACATATTCAGAATTTTCTTCCGAAGTAATATATTTGTGTATCCATAACAATAAATTAGTCATCATTATTTTTACTGATCTAGAGGAAAATAGTGTTGTATTGTTATATATTTTTTTAGGACAGATACTATTATTGTGAAATTATCAAATGTAATAGATAGTGATAATTACCCAGGAGAAATAAACGAGGCAGTAGAATACAAGCTAGAAAGATAGCAAACGGATGTTTGTCGTAAAACTTGTGCAACGTTTGGATCGATTACTTTACGCCATAACCAATTTGTGAAGGTCTCCGTGATTACGGGCCTAAAACTACAAATGTAGAACATGATGTATTGCACGTATTGACTGGCGTGCGTAGGTAATATTACTGCTTCAAATGCGCAGATGATATCGAAATATAATGTCCTCAGGTTGTCTATCTGCAGAACGTTATTTATAAAACAGAACTCGTGCATGTATTTAAGAAATAACTCCATGCACGTGTCCATTGTACGTTCAGCTGAATGGATAATTTTTCTTTTGTCTGTATCATTGTTTACTGTGGTCAAATTGTCATTATCAGCTGTACCATTGTTGTAGCTAGTATAGTCATCTAGTACATTGTCTTCCTCATTTTTGCTTGCTTCTTCACGAGGTACATTGACATCTAACATCATCAACCTAGTACAAAAATATATAATTTAATCTCTTATTAGTAAAGTCAAATGTTTTATTTGATCAAATTTTTCTCAAAATACTTACCTATTAATAATAAAGACTAAAATATCTGATCTCAGTTGAGGTGCATAATTTAGAATTTGTAATAATGCATAGATATAAACTTCATGTGTGTAAGTGCCATGTACAATATATGGAAATTGGGATACAAGAGATTGCAGCAAGACTTTGCTTGACCTAAAAGTTTATAATATGCATTTATCATAAAATTTATAAAAAAAAATTATCGATTATAAAATATTAACAATTATTCTTCTAAATCTTACATTGGCACTACTTCCAAAATTTTATGCAATATATCATGTATGTGATTCAGCCTTTCTAGATCTTCACTTTTTAACTGTCCAGCTTCATGTTCAATATTATTATCTTTAACTGTAGAGAAAGTATTGTAATATATTATTTCTGATAAAATATTACGCTCTTTTTCCTAAACTATTTATTTTAAAACATTCAAACCTATTAGTATTTTGTTTTATAAAATAAATTATATTATTTTCCAAAAACTACTAGGTAAAAATTTACCTGGTTTAAACAATTCAACCAGACGCTTTATTACAATGTTAATGTGAAGAGTTTGCATACATACTAAATCTTGTACAAAGAGTTTATAAGTAGAAATCACTTCTGGCAACCTATTTGTCCATTCAATTTGAAGAAGGGCTTGAACAAATGATTCGTATCTAACATCTAATAAAGATATACATTGCCTTGTCTCAGTTAGAAATTCTGTCAAATCACTATCCTAAAAAAATAAAAGGAAAATCAGTAACAAAGTATCTTGCATCATAATGTGCAAACAATTATCACTTATTATTTGCATGTCATGATGTATAAACAATTGCTAATTAATAAACATTATAGTATCTATCATGCATTTAGAGATAAAAAAAATTGTGCATAAATTTTCTTTGTATCCTTATCATTACCTTTATAGCACCTTCTTTAAGCGAATATATCAACTTTTCATAGTCTTTAATCCCATTATCCTTCATATAATTACATAATATATTTTTAACATCTTTCGGGAGCTTAAAGTATACTTTGCTTGGCTGTTTAATAAATTGTGACCTGACTCCACTGACTTTCAGTATAGACGATACGCTATTAACTCTTGAGGATACCACAGACATCTGTTTTAAATAGAATAAATTAATAATCAGATCACCAAATACTCTTCAATGTCAGATCTATCTTACAAAAATTCTGAATTCTATGGCAATCGGAGGATTTCAACCGGAATAAGTAATAATCATGTTATCACAAAAATAACAAATTGAAGCAGTGAGAAAGAAAAGGTTACACGTTAGAATAAATCAAGTAGGGTTACTCACTTTGCTAAATATAATTTTTGCTTTACTTAGTTTATACTCCTTCCAACAACTGAATCAATGGACATATATCAATGGTATATTTCTATTTTGAACGTTTTTCTATTATATATCCCGAATGCCATGCATATAGAGTATTCGCCATACGCTCGCGGCCACATGTTCCCACATGTCCGCGAGACTGCAGCGGATGTGGCCATAGATTTATATAAAAAGGCAGATGACATACTTCATTCTATGTGCAAATGTCAATTGAAAGTATCTAAATTGTATATCTAAATTCGTTGCAATATGCCATCTACATAATTTTTTTGATCTATGCTTAAGCTCCAACTAGCGACATCTCTTTTCCAAGGAAGTAAACTTTTTTACTAGATACATGAGAATTTGAATATCTGAGAATTATTTAAAAATTAAAAATATATGCCTTTTATTTACAATATAATTAATCTTTTTAAACATTAAACATACATACCATTTATTTCTTAACACAATATACTTCCTAGATAGCACAAAGAATCCAAAATAATGGAGGTTTTGAATCTTCAAATTATAAAATGTATTTTTTTTCCATCTCGTTTCTAATTTAAAAATGTTCATAAAAGTTCCATAGAATTTTACTTTTACTTTTATTTTTATGTTACCAATTCTGAGTTCTTTTTCAGACAAAAGGAAATCTTTTTATAGTCTATGAGAATTCGTAATGAAATCGAAATAGTTTTTAAATTATATATCTAATAAACACCCAACAAATATATTTTTCAGAAATATTAGATCCCAGAAATATTAGGAAAATTAGTTATTATACAGAATTAAACGAAATTGTATTGTTAAAATATAGTTGAGTGAGCGATTCTTTTCAAACTCATTACGAATAGAAAAAGAATTTTTTCAATGCAACTTTGATTTAACTACATAGAAGTCACAATGTATAGAATCCTTTATAGAATCCTTTATAGAATCCTTTTTGAATTATCATAAAGAAATTTTTTTTAATTTATAACGATCATCTGTGCTGTTTGAGGAATATATAGTGCTTTTTATTTGCAAAACATTTTTTTTGTTTTAATAAAATTGCATCCGAATAG